TAGCCTTATGAGAGCAATGTGTATATATGTGTGTATATATATATATATATATATATATATTTTTAATGCCTGGTTAATACAGGTAATATAATTCTATCTATCTCCAGAACCCTCCTCGGCACCAACATTCAACTCTCTCTGGTGATCTGATGCCACCCCTGAAGAGGCTGAAGAATAAATAGAAAGAGCACAGCCTGATTTAAGGTTGGGGGTGGGTGGGGAGGTACTCATCCTTTATCTTGCAAATTGGATACGGAAATAATTGCAGGAGAACAGGGAAGCCGTCCCACACTGTCAGTTTTCACTCAAGGCACTTTTGTAACCATGACTTCACTCCTGAACTGACACCTGCACCGGCTTCCCTGACAGCCTTAAAGAGATACCATCAAGACTTTGTCACATAAATTGAATAATTTAGACAGAGCTTAGGTGACAATAGGATGAACTTCAGCTGGAAAGTGGTGGGGGCTGAGGGATAAATCCTTGGAAAATTAAGTCTGGGCCAACTCTATCTTCCCGCATCTTCTCTCATCATCCACCTTAAACCTGTGATTGAACCGTTTATCAGTTTGGGACATAAGGAAGACATGTTAGGAAAGTCACATTTTAGCAGGAAAGAGAGAAATAGCTGTCAGTCATCTCAGCCAATGACGGACTGGTGAGTATCTTTTTTTTTTTAATGGCGTTTGTTTTCTTAACATTAAAACTGTTTAGATAATCCCTTGTGAATCATAAGATGGTATCGCCTTCTGGTGAGGGAAGCTCTGATATACAGCCACTGACTTGGCCACAGCTCTGGAGTTTCCTCCAAGGAGTTCAAAGCACTTTCTGAAGTAGCATCATCTTATTTAGCTTTGAAAACTGAGACAGAAGGAGTGAGGGAGGATGGACACGCAGGAGTCTTCATTTCACCAATGGGAAAGTTAAAGTGTGGAAGACACGTGGCTGGGCCAAAGTGACCCGGAGAGTTCGGAGCCCTAAGTCGGGAGTCCCCAGATCTTAGGGCTGTACACATTCCGTGGATCTGCAATGTGACCCTGGCCAGATCTTCTCTTCGAGAAACCTGCATGTAGGAAAAAGTCGAGGGTTCTCCAACAGAAATTTCTGCCTAATAGTTTGAAAAATATCCACCCCAGGCCAGATTCGAGGTCTCTGGCACGATTCACATCCTGACCAGAAAAAAAGAGCAAAGATTTAACACCAGCTGAGGCTTTTTTTTCCTTTAATATTAAGAAACAGAAACTAATCACCCCCTTTCCTGCCAAGCACGGCAGTGCAAAGACCCGCCAAACCCACCTTTCTTGAAAACCCATGATCTGCTTTTCAAGGGGAAGATGAAAGCGCCAGGAATAGACAATGGTTCTGAAACACTGGCTGACTTTTGAATATTCATGACTATTCTGATGCAAATGCATATTTCAAATTGAGCTGTTTTTGCAGAGGTGCTGTTGGAAATGGATACGCTTATGAAATTGCTTTCCTAGTTCTACAGAGCCCCAGAACGATTTCCTCTGCTTATTTATAATTCTCCTAGAAGGTTTCCCAGGGGTCAGCCTTCGGCTGGAGTTTCAGCTGATTTCTTTTCACCAAAAAACTCGGGCTACAGTTTAGCCTAACTCAGGAGGAAAAGTCCAGCTTTGTTTAACTGGAGCCAGGTTGGATCGGCGCGCCGTGTTCTGCCGGCGGCCTCTTTGGCATATCGCACATCAGATTGTTTTTCCTGTGAGGTAACCTCAAACCGAAGCTCACTGTTCCCTGAAGAACAAAGAAAGTTCGTGAAAACATCGTGCCAGTGCTGGGAGGCTTGGATGGTCGGGCAGTCAAGGCCTGTCTGGATTTTGCTGATTTTGCTCCAGAAGGGTCTCACCCGGTGGCCATCAGGCGTGGCATGCGGTTCGGCCCGGTCAAAGGGCTTTGAGGGAAACACGCAGACCCCGGGGGCTGATGGAGACTGGAGACCTCCAAAGCGCAGTGAGTGTTCAGAGTCCCCTCCGGGGGAGCCCTGGGACCTCCCTGCCTCTTCAGCCTGGATGCAGGCTGTGACTGTGGGTCAGGCCTGGGGGAAAGTAGGGGGGCGAAGGAGGTGGCCATTGCTGGAGGGAAGAAGCGGGCCACTGTGAAGCCAAGGTTGGTTTTGGAAGAGAGAGGACAGTTCTTGAGCTCTGAACGAGGCCAGTGAAGGAAGTGGCCACAGAGCTGCCTAAGTCTCTGGGGGATGGAATAAGCAAGCCTCTGGGTGTCGGACACCTGCTGGGGCAGGGTGGGGAAGCCCCTGATTCAGGCCAGTGGGGCCCCATCGAGGAGGGGTGCCCTCTCCTCGGCCTTTTATCCACCTGGGTTCCTTGCAGTGCTCCCAGTGACCCTCCTGGAAGGACATAGGTGTGGCCTCTGACACCACTCCTTGGATAGTCCTTGGAAGTACCTCCTCTCTCCAGTCCAGCCCTCTACCCACAAATACTCCATGGGTCATTCTTTCCTTATGCCCACGGAGAGGACCCTGTCTCCTGTGTATTCAATGAGTACTGCACTTATGACGTGCCAGGCTCTGTGCTGGGCTGGGGACCTGAGGTCACCCCAGTGTGGTCTCTGTTTAGTGCTCCGGTCTGTGGATCCAAACTTATTTCCTGTCCCCAATCTGTCTCTGCCCCGTGACTGTTCTCACCACCATCTCTTCCTAGGGTGTGTTCTTTACCTCGAGTGCCCTCTCTTCCCAGCTCCAATTTTGCAAAAGCTATGCTCGCTTCTGGGATATGCAAGAGTTGCTTTTTCCATTCAGCACCCCCTGCCCCAGGTTTTTTTCTCTTCCTCCCAATTTCTGCAACATACCTGTTCTTTGAAATGCCACATGTAATTTAAATGGACTTACTTTGTCCAGCATCTATTTTGGTGTGTGGACTTGTTGTCTTTGAGGCTTGGAGTCAGATTTTACCCTCCCGTCTCACCCCAGCACTCAGCCCCAAACTGAGCAGTTCTTAAATGCCCGGTAAATACTGTTGGTTTTTAGAATCAGAATGGCTCTGATGAGGACGATACAGTGGTCCTGACAGCTCCCCAGGAGGAGTGGAGATGGGGGGGGGCAAGGAGACTGTAGCAATCTTCTGACGAAGAAGGCAGCTCTATCCCTGAAGAAGACCCTGCATACAGTATAAGAAAGATACCAGCAGTTCATAGCTACATGTTCAAAAACACATTTATAGAGAGAGTAGATCTCATTCACTTGCTTCCAGATCAAAGAAAGTTTCTATTCTATTGAAAAAAAAAAAGTTGTAAATGTCATCAACTGTCTCGCGTGACCTTTGGCAAATTACTTCACCTTTCTGAACTTCACTTACCTCATCTACAAAATGGGGCTAATAACAATGCCTATCCAATAGGGTTGTTGGGAGGGTTAAATTAGATTAGGTACATAAGCCACTTAGCCCAGAATCTGGAAAAGAATAGATATTCAATTAATGGTTGCTATGATTAATCATTATTATTGTCCCATTAAGCCAATATTTCCCAAAGTCTAATAAGTGGATTATCTGATGGTCCATAAGATAATTTAGGTGGTGCATTGATTGACTTTTTACAAATTTTAATGTGTGGTAGGTAAAATATGATTTTATCGTATTTATTATTTCATGGGTGCTCTTTCTATTTAATTATCGCTGTGTTACATACCATCCCTAAACTGAGTGGCTTTAGACAGCACTGATTTATTACTTCTTTTGGTTTGTCTCATGGGCCGTGCTCAGCAAGCGAGTTCTGCTCCTCCTCTCACGTGTCGGGCCCCTGAGCTGGAAGGGCTGGGCCAGGTGGGGCTGTTTGGGTGTCTCTCTCCTTCTCCACACCCGCTACCTCTTCAGCCAGAGAGCCAGACTCCTCTACCTGGTGGCTCCTACTGGCTAACGTCCCACTGGCCCACCCAGAGGCAGGGTGGGAGGCACTGCCCAAGGGCGTGCATACTGGAAGTCACGGCCCACTGGGGGCCTCCAGCGGGGCAGTCTTGCACAGTCATCATACACCCAAGGCCTCCCAGCTGGTAAGTATCCACACCGCCGTCTGGCTCCAGGATCTGCGGTCTGGACCACCAGGCAAATCTCCTCAAGCAGAGCGTTTTGGTTATCCATCTCCAAACGCAGTGACTTAAAGCAACAAGTCCCTTGCTACGTTCATTGATTTTGTGGGCCGTGAATTCAGATAGATCGTGGCAGAGAGGTGCTGTTGGGTACCTCACCTCGCCTAGGGCCCAGCTGGAAGGACTCAGTTTGCAGAGAGCCCACGGGGTTGGTTCAGCCGGAGTCGTGCCTGTGGGGCATGCTTCCACCTGTCTGCTGCCTTCCTCCGTTCTCCCCGACGTGACCCCCTGCCATGTGACTGACCCCTGGGCTTCTTCACAGCACAGGGGTCTCAGGGTGGTTGGATTTCTCACAGAGTTGCTGGCTTCTCTGTAGAGAGTGAGGTAGAAGCTGCTAGGCCTCTTGGAAGCAAGGCTCAGAATTGGAACTACCCTACACTGCCATGTTGGTCCGAGACGGTCACAAAGCCAGTGTAATTCAGGGGGAGGAGAAATGGACTCGACCTCCTTTTTTTTTTTTCAATTTGAAGTATAGTCAGTATACAATGTTGTATGAATTTCTGGTGTGCAGCATAATGTTTCATATACACACATATACGTGTGTATATTCCTTTTCATATTCCTTGTCATTATAGGCTATTACAAGGTATTGATACTTCTGTGTGCTATACAGTGGGGCCTTGCTGTTTATTTTATACATAGTAATGTATATCTGCACATCTTGAATTTCTAATTTATCCCTCCATCCCACTTCCCCCCGGTAACCATACGTGTGTTTTCTATGTCAGTGAGTCTGTTTCTGTTTTGTAAGCAAGTTCAGTTGTGTCCTTTTTTTTTGGATTCCACCCATAAGTGCTATCATATGATATTTGTCTTTCTCTGTCTGATTTCTCTTAGAATGACAATCCCGGGTCCATCTCTGTTGCTACAAATGGCATTTCAAAATATGGGCTGCTTCACGCATTTGCACGTCATCCTCGCACAAGGGGCATGCTAACCTTCTCTGTACGGCCCAGTTTGAGTACTGGTGCTGCCGAGGCAAGCAGGACCCCAGTTCTTGAGAGAAAGGTGTGCAGACGGGGAAGGCGTTGATCCAGGCCTTCCAGGGGAGGCAAGTACTGCTATTTGGATACTTTCTACCACATTGTGCTTAAAGTCTAGAATAGCAGTATTTAAGCTTTTGTTTTGTTTTTAAACAGACAGAATTTTTTTGTTTTGTTTTTGTGTTTTTCTTAAGAGCATTTTAGGTTCATAGCAAAACTGAGAAAAAGGTACGCAGATTTCTCCATTTACCCCCTGTCCTTGCTAATTTATAATCTCCCCAGTTATCAGTGTTCCCTCCAGTGGTCTATTGGTTACAACTGAGGAACCTACATTGACACATCACCCACAGACAATGATTTATACTAGGTTCACTCCTGGTGCACGTCCTGTGGGTTTGGACAAGTGGATGATGACATGTATCTGTCATTATAGTATCGGAGTATTTTCAGCGCCCATAATCCTCCATGCACTACCTCTTCCTCCCCGCCTCCTCCTAACCCCTGGCAATCACTGATTATCTTACTGTCTTCATAGTTTTTCGTTTTCCAGAATATCTTGTAGTTGGAATCATACACTATGTAGCTTTTTCATGTCAGTGTCTATCACTTAATCATCTGCATTTAAAGTTCTTCCATGTCTTTCATGGCTTGTTAGCTCATCTCTTTTCAGCACTGAATAATATTCCATTGTCTGATGTACCACAGTTTATTAATCCTTTCACCTACTGAAGGACAACTTGGTTGATTTCACGTGTTGGCAATTATGAATAAAGCTGCGATAAATATCTGTGTGCAGGTTTTTGTGTTGACTGAGGTTTTCAACTCCTCTGGGTAAATTCCAAGGAGCACAATTGCTGGATGAAATTAGGGTTTTAAGTTTAGAAAAACATAAAGAATATTAGAGTGAACCATATAAAATTTATGATTTTGTAGATCATGCCCAAATGTTGGTCATTTTATATGGTTTAACCTAATAGGATAGTGGTTCTCTAATGTGGGGAAGGTTTCTGATGTGATATGCAAATAAGAAGCTTGGGAAATATCTAACTGAAGTATTTTGTCTTCTGGTAAGTTTCAATTCTTCACGTCTTTGACCAAAACACAAAAAAGGCTAACTTGGACAGTGTGTTTTGTTGTTATTGGCCGTGGTGGTTTGGACAAGGGCTGATATGAGCTGCAACAGGTCAGGTGTCTATTGACCATGTGGCAGGAAGGGACCACAGACTTCCCAGGTTGGCTGCAAATCAGACACTTGAGAGAGCCGGCAGAACTTTGACCTTTGTAGGGAGAATGCCTTCAGTCCTTTTTGACTCCTAATAGCAACAGTATTTTCCACATTATCAGATAGATCAACAGAAACCCCACCAGCTTGGTGGGACATTAAGAGCATTTTCTGGCAGAAGTTGGTGCAAGAAATTGAAAAATGAATCACTGGAACATTTGGCTCTGTGCAGTGTACATCTGAGGAGGTTGTTCTCCAAAATAAACTGCCCAGCAATTAAAGAGACTGTCTTAGGCTGGGTTCTGATGATGAATCAGAACTCCAGAGATGTGGAAGGTCTGAGGTAGACACTTAACAGAATATTATTTTGTATTTCATCTCTGCCAGATCAAAAAAAAAAAAATTTCCCATCACTGCCCTGGTGATTTTTCAGCCTGGCAGTCCACTGTGGTGGAAAGATTGTAACCAAATTGGGTAATGCTGCCCTGTGGATCACCAATAAAAATACTGCGAAGTTGCTTGAAGGTTTGGAATTGGTAAAATAATTTGAAGGCTCCTTACTTTCATCTTAATCCTTTTGGAGTGAAAGTTATAGGAGAAAATTTTTGTTCAAATATAGCATCTGAAAGATTTATACATTCTAAATAGAGTCGGCACAAGGTCCCCAAAACAAAAGAAAACCCCCCAGACTATTTTCCAACAGGACTTCCTGAAGGAGCACTTCAAAGGTCTAGATCTCTCCAAGATGGCTCAAGTCCTATGCCTCCCCTAAGCCTCCATGATGTACTGGTCTCACACTCTCAGGAGCTTCTCAAGTTATTTTGGCTGCTCAGCCCTGACAGTTAAATAACAGCTTGATGACAGAAGAGGTTTCATTATGTGTGCGAATGTATTTTCTTCAGCTCATCAGCGAATGGCAGACTCAAAGGTATTCAGAGGCCCAGAACAATAACGTCAAAGCTAATTCAATCCTTCACAGGTCAAGGCTTATGACCACGGCTCTCGCCTTTGTCTGACAAACCAAATGCGTAGCGTTTCTGTGTGCATTTTTTTCCTGCCCAGAAAAATCACACCTTAAAATACATGGGCATTGATTGCTCTTGCTCTCCTCTGGGTTTTTCTGAGGCTCCTTCTCTGGGGATCACACAGAACTCGTATTGCCCTTGTCTGGCCAGCAGCTCAAACTCGCTTTCTCCTGCAGTGTTTCGATCGCATGCTTATTACTCAGGAGCAACAGGTTGAATTTTACTATCACATTACTTTTCTCTTATTTAAACAGCCCAAAGTATCCATGTGTTCATGTAGGGGTCATCTTTTCAGGAACATACATTTATCTTCCTGAATGTATGTTCCTAAAATGCATAAAATTTTGGATCCAGTTAGTCCTCATTTTTCTCACAAGTAGAGATTGCAGATTTGATTCCCTGGGGCCATCAGAATGGTCTTCGTTGAACATCTTCTTCATCCAGAGGAACGTCTACATAGATCCTTATATAATATAACCGAAGCAAGAGGATACAGAATAATAATGATAAAGCTTCCTCAGAAATTGCATGACTACTTTTCCCCCCAGTTAATGGCAAGTAGAACTAAAATTGCCTAGTGAACAATGGTCTTCCTCTATCATAACCTTAACTGATGAAACATGTAAGCCTCGCAGGAAAAATATCTGTAATTTCTTATTATAAACATGTAAGGTGGAGTGACCGTGCATGTGAAATTTCCAATTAAGAGATACAAATAGTCACATCGTGGTTCACAATACCAGCCATCTGTTCCCAAAGCCTTGCAGACTCTCCTTCACTGCAAGAAAGTTAAGTGAAAGAGAGCGTCTAAAGCACCTTTTAGCTTTTATAGCCAGTGTCGGATTAGAAGCCATACCCCATATATTGGAGTGTCATTACTTCAGAAGTTATTTTATGGCTTTTCAAGAATGAATACAAAATGTTCTTTGTTTAATGTTCAGAAGTCATAGAGTGGAAAGGGAGAGTACTCTCTAATTTCTCCATCCCATCCCCACCTCAGACGTGGCTACTTCACACTCTTTGACATACAAGCATATATGTATATTTATTGTTCATCTGGGTCTTTTATGTGAATTTATTGTTCATCTCCTCTGCTCATTTGAAAAGATAAATTGTACTTTTCTCTTTATTGATTTCTAAGAGCTCTTTGTATGTAATACTTGGCTGCATTAGATTTCCAGGTGAAGATGAGCAGTAAGCAGGTCTCATGTAAACAGTAGGAGCAGTCCCTCTGCTGAGCAGTATCTTTTGTGCAAGGCATGCTAGACGCTACTTCGATAGAGCAGTTTGCCCCCATTGTTAGGGAATGCCCCTTTCAAAGACTGGATGCAGGGACTATGTTTTGGGGCAGTAAGGTTTAGAGTTGAAGCTGTTCCCTAGCAGAAATTGCCTGCATGGCTGTACTTTGCAAAAATGCCTGCTCTCCAGCCGAGTAAGTGGTGTGGTGTCCATGTGGGCTGCACTTAGTGATTTCCTTCCAAAGAATATGGTAAGGGAAGGAGGGAAATGAACTTTTCATGGAGAAACACAGCAAACACCACTGCAGCCATAGGATCTAGGTTTCTATCAACTGTGATAAGTCATCTAAAAAAAAAAGAAGACACTAATGAACTCATCTACAGAACAGAAACAGACTCGCAGACATAGTAAACAATCTTATGGTTACAGGAGGGAATGGGGTGGGAAGGGATAAATTGAGAGTTCGAGATTTGCAAATATTAACTAACATACATAAAAATAGATAAAAAAATGAATTTCTTCTGTATAGCTCAGAGAACTATATTCAATATCTTGTAGTAAGCTATAATGATAAAGAATATGAAAAGGAATATATGTATTTATATGTGTGACTGAAACATGATGCTGTGCATCAGAAATTGACACATTGTAACTGACTACACTTCAATTAAAAAAAAAACAAACAACAGTGATGAGTCATGTTAATAGTATGATGTAATGAGACAGGAACTTTATTTCTGGGTCTTCCTCCCCAAACTGACAACCACGGCCTCACCACGACACCAGACAAACCCAAATTGAGGGACATTCTCAAAATACCCTTCAGTCCTCCTCAAAACTGTCAAGGTCACGTGAAACAAGAAAATTTGAGAAACGGTCACAGTCTAGAGGCGGCTAAGGAAACATAAATACTAAATGAAATATATCCTGGATGGGATCCTGGAGCAGAGAAAGGCCACAGGTGAAAATGAAGGAAATGTAAATAAAGCAGGGCATTTAGTTAACCGTAATGAATCATTATTGGCTCATTAGTCGTGATAAATGGACCACATGAGTAAAAGACGCTAATAATAGAGGGATCGGGCCGTGGGGTGCACAGGAACTCCGTACTACCCCTGCCAATTTTCTTTAAATCTCTTCTAAAGTCAACAGTTTGTCAGAGGGGGGAAAATGGGCAGATATTCATATGGAACCATCTCCCCAGTGAAGCCATAAAGTTCTCACCTGACTTAGGCTGACTGTGACTATAGTGACCCAAACTCAGTTCATCTAAAAGCAGCCGAAACACACAAAATCTGACTTGGGGTGATTTTTCTGGGGAGGTTCTTGCTGGCCATCTCAAGGGCTGCATGGCCAGACCAGTGGAAATACTGAGCAGGTAGAAGCCGTAGCGATGACCCCCATCAGACCATTTCATTTTACAGAAGAAACTGAGGCCCAGAGGGAAGGAGGCATTCACCTAGGTCTTGCGAATACTGAGCTGGAACCTGCATGTGTTTCCTAATTCAGTGCTCCTT